CTCTGGTCTCGGGACTTATTACTAAGACCACAAATACTGGAGGTAAGGAATGCAGACCAAGGGACATCATTTAGCTCGAAGGCTTGGTAAAGGTTTTTCTCTGAGGGTTAAAAAACAAACAAACAAACCCATTGCCGTGAAGTCAATTCTGACTCATAGTGACTCTACAGGACAGAGTAGAACTGCTTCATAGGGTTTCCGAGGCTGGAAATCTTTGGAAACACACTGCCACATCTGTTTCTCGCAGAATGACTGGTGGGTATTCGAACCACCCACCTTTCCATTGGCAGCCGAGTGCTTTAACCACTGTGCAACCAGGGCTCCTCTCTAAGGGTTAGAGTCCTAAATAAAAAGCTTTTCTGTTACAAAGTTTAAAAAGAGAACGAGAACAAAGACTAGTAATCCTAGCCCCCTGCTCATATGCATCGCAATATATTCTTTCATAGGGGTGCTCACACTTGGGTTTTTGGCATAAAACCAAATGCTTTCTGTAAAAATCCAATTCAGAGCCCTCATAAAGCATGACCCAGCATGAGCTCCCCCCTTCCAGGGCTATGGGAAATCGCTTACTGAGCTGGATAAACTAATAAAGCTCCTGGGAACGCTGCCTTCCCCAGATCTCCACCTCTCCTGACTCATCACCTCCGCCCCACTCCTCCTTCTGGCACATCTCTGGTTTAACTGGGGTGGGGTGGGATCAAGGCAACGTCTACCTGCAGTGGGACCCCACACACTAGGCCTGTTGTTGCTTCCCTCGAAATCAACCTGGCCTGCAAATCCATGGAGCCTTAAGGCCAGGCCAAGCCTGCAGCAGAACAAGTGATTTAATGGGTACCTGGGTCGGGGCCACCTTGGGCCTGACCCTCCACTAGTCATCCATCCCCAAGGCAGGTCCCAAGGCTCTGCTTCCTCCGTCCAGTGCACACGTGAGCTCATGTCTGAGCCCACCAAAGCTTCCTTGTAAATGGGTCTGGAACAGTGGCACATTCAGAGTTGCTTTTCAGTGTAAGCCCTTGTTTGAAGTTGCTGGGAGAGTTATCTCCTCAGCTCTGAAGACTGTCAGAGTGCAGCTAGCCTTCAACAGCTTCCTCACGTTGCCTCTTTTTTGCCCCTATCCCCAGCTCCATCAGCCAAGAAGAGTGCCCCCTTCAAGCAGCACGAAGCAGGCAAGAAACAGACATTGAGTGACTCCACCCACCAATGCTGGGCTCAATGCTTCTGGTTCACTGCTAGTGAAAAATACAAGTGATCACACTGAAAAGCAGTTAAGATCCCAAAGAGAAGTGACAAATGCCAGGCAACTGAAATGCCTATGAATGAAAGACATTCTCCTCAACTCCCCCCGTTAAAAATATAAGCCTCTCTGACAGGCTAAACTACATCCCTACAGGGACTGCCACCTAGTGGTGACCTAGAGTGACACATCAGCTCACTAAATTCTTTCCTTCCTCTAGGCTTCAGATGCAAATCACCTTTTCCCATAATTTCAAATTTCTCATTTAAAAGGGCCTACTCTCAGGCTGGAGTCCTGGCACTGACTCTAAGGCTGCTGGCTGTTTTTTTTTTTTTTTTTTAAAATCCTCAGGCTACAACCAGCAGACCAAAGACACAAGATAGGAGTTACAAGGTTTGGATTTTGCTCCCAGTTTGGTCCAAGTGCAGGCCATCTGTGGAGCAGGACTCAGGAATCCAGAGCTTTTGCATTGGCGTGGGGATCAGGGCCTGTGCAGTCACCCTTTCCAAAGGGCTGTGAGACGTATCTCAAGGTTCTTCATCATTCCCAAGACACGGAAAATTACAGGGGTGGGAGCGGTGTCTGCCTCCGGCTCCATGTATTATCATTCCTAGTAGATGAAACTAAACTGAAATGAGTTAGCAGAAAAGCAATTAATTTCCTGAGACCTCTCTACCACTGGGAATGTAAATAATTAAAACCTGGAAGCTGCTGATAAGCAGTTAAATCAAGCTGTGCTCCGCTCCGAATGGCAGGAGCAGGCCCGCCCCCAGTCACTTTCCTCCCACTGAGTAACAACTGTGTTTCAGCGGTGGATGGGCGAGTGCCCTGATGCTAGCAGAGGCCCCACTGCTGGGGGAAGAGCTCACTGCTGGGCACATGCATAGCTGCCCGGAAGCCATTTATAGTCATTGCATCAGAACAAAAGGGTTTATTGGTTTGGTGCAGTTAAGAGCTGCTCCTTGAAGACTCAAGTGAGGTTCTGATACAGGAAGCAGCCAGTGGTGCTGAGTAACCTCTCCCATCTCCACAGGAAAATGCCACTCTCATGACAATTAACTCTGCTGGGCTGACTGCACTCACTGAGTCACTGAAGAGCTAAAGTGTGCCACCTTGGGAACATCCACCTGGAGAAACAGATTCCGAACTATCTGTGGGGTCCTTCTGGGACTGACAAAGGGGAGAAGAGACCAACAGGCAGCCACTCTCAGCCTGGAGGGAACCTGCTCCTAGAAGTCAGGTCCTGGGAAGAGGCAGCCTAGACCTCACCCTGGAGCCACCTTCTCTCTACAGCTACAGAGAAAAGGGACAAGAGCAGATGCTAGCGTGGAGTCATGTGATGGGTCAGACCAGAGTCACAAGGAAACATATCCCCCAAAACAAGCACCTAGTACAGCACCCTCTCTTTGGTGTGGTTGGACAGACTGTCTTTGGTCGACCTAAGATGAATGAGGCAGAAGATAATGAAAGGGAAGAAAAGTAAAGCAAATTACAGCTCCTCACACATGGGGTCTGTCCCTCAGAGACGTCTTACTCCCCTGAACTAGACAGATGGGAGCCAGAAGGCACATTTGGTTCTCTCCAACAGCAAAAGAAGGGATAAGCTGAGGGCCTAAGCAAGGCTACCATCATCCACAGCAACTTAAAGGATGGCCAATTCCACCAGACAGCTCAGCCTAGGCTAGTGAGAGCAGCGGGCAGAACCAGGAAAGGGCGCTGGGGAGCCAGAGCAGAGGGCTGAACAGGCTGCCAACTGGCCAGAAAGATGCACGTGGGTATACAGGACTTGTAAGCACAACTCCCCTATACAGGTGGCTCTGTAGGTTGCACTGAAGGAGAAAGAGCAAAGATTTAGAGCTGGACAGACCTGCTGCCAGCATTACTATGTGACCCTAGGAAAGTCACTCCCTCTGAGATCCATCATCTCTAAAACGGGGCAGATGATAATACCCATCTCACAGGAGTATTGTGAGGATCAACTTTTTTGTTTGGAAATGAAGACTGGAAAATGACTACACCAATGTGGCTTAGGAGCCCTGATGGCACAGTGGTTAAGGGATACAGCTGCTAACCAAAAGGCCGGCAGTTCAAATCCACCAGCCGCTCCTTGAAAACCCTGTGGGGCAGTTCTACTCTGTCCTCTAGGGTTGCTATGGGTTGGGATCGACTTGATGGCAATGGGTTTTTTTTGGTAATGTGGGTTAGCATCTGTGCAGAAAAGGGTTGACAGAGCAGGCCCGAGGCTACTATCTTAGAAGGGCCTGCTTGCAAGGTTGGCCCTTGGCTAGCCTCTGGGAACTTGGCTCTCGGAGTGTTCCGAGTCAACAGTTAACTGATAAGGGTGGTCTACTGTGCCTAGGCTGTACTAACAGTACAGTTTATGCTGAACACCAGCCTTCCTTCTGGGAGTCTGGAATTTTGGTACATGCTGGGCAATAGGTACCTAAAGACCCCCCCAAAAAAAAAAAAAAAAAAACACCAAACCCCAAACCTGTTGCAGTCAATTCCAACTCATGGCAACCCCATGTGTTACAGAGTAGAGATGCTCCATAGGGTTTTCTTGGCTGTAACCTTTAGATTGCTAGGACTTTCTTCCGTGGTGCTGCTGGGTAGGTTAGAACTGCCAACCTTTAGGTTAGTAATCAAGTGCAAACTGTTTAGACCACCCAGTGACTTTATCTAGTCCCCAGTGAAAACCTTGGGCACTGAGTCTCTAATGCGCTTCCTGGGCAGAAATGCTGTACACAGGTTCCTGCATTTTTGTTGCTCTAATATGCATGTATGTATGTAATATATATGCTGAGTCCTCCTAGCAAATCTTTAAATGTGGGAGGTGGTCTGGGGGACTCCCAATACAGCATCAATATTATGTACTGCACCTAGAATGAGCCCATAGAGATCTTACCTACCTCAGGAAGGCCTGCTGTCACCACCTGGCTAGAAGCAAGGTTACAGAGAGAAGACGGGACCAGGCCAGCAACCCCATAAGAAGCCCCAATCCCAAGAAGGGGGAGATAACAAGAGGGAGAGAGCTGATATTTACTGAAAGCCCAGTGGGAGCCAGTCACTGTGCTAGGTTGCTCTGTCATCATTATTTCATTTCCTCATTATCACAACATTATCCCCATTGTTTAGATGAAGACACTTAGGCACACAGAGACTGAGTAACTTGTCTGAGGTCACACAGCTAGCCAGAGAAGGAGCTGAGATTCTGGCCCAAGGTTGTCTGGCTGCAGAGACCGCACATCCCCAGCTCCTCCTAGCACCCACACTTTCTGTCTAGCTGCCACTCTCAGCCCCTGGCCTGTCAGGCTGCTTGGCTGGCCCTGGGCCTTGCTCTGCCAAACAAGTCATGAACAGTTTCTGCCAAGCTAAAGCAAGAAGAGAAATAGGGCATTTTAGGCCAAATGATCCTTGCCATCTACATTTGATATTTTTCAAAGCACAATAACACCCATCATTTCATTTGACCCTCATAACAATGATTTGCTGGGCTGCCTGGCAGATGTCCTCCTTTTTCAGATAGGGAAACTGAGGCCCAGAGAGGGTCAGGGGATTAGGACAAGGGCAGCACTAGAAGCAAGACCTCCTTACAAAGATCCCAGTGCCTGGCATATAGGAGGAACTCAGTAAATACCAGCTGACTGAAAGAATGATGACTAAATAAATACAAAAGAAGAGTGGGCTCAACGGGAAACAAGAGGTCATTTTTGGAATCTTCATTTTTCAAATCATTTTTCTTTCAAAACATCTGCATAGTACTGACCAGTCAACAAAGAACTCCAAGTAGCCTTCGTTTGGTTTCTCTAGCTTCGGCGTTCCCATTTCTGCTTTCACTCCTACCAAGATGTCCGTGTGGCCCTGCAGACACACACAAGAAAGGGCTTCACTCAGGCAGGCAGCCAAACACCCAACCACCCCCTCCTGTCCCAGACAGACACTGTTAGGAGCCGTGCTGGACCTGGAAAGTGACCCCTTGAGGAGGTAAGGGCTCCTTCAGATCTAGACAGCCTCCTCCCTGAGTCTGGCTTGGGTCTAGGTTTCCCCAGGAGCTATGTGCTCTCCCAAGGCCTGCAGTGGTCACCTAGGGCCTACCCGCCCCTCCACGTAGGCATGGACTGTGGCCACTCTACTCACCAGCTTGACCCTGGCAGACCCACTTGTGTTGGACACCACATCAGTTTCCACTTCGATGGACCGGTAGTCCTCGCAGCCACGGCCATCCACACGGAGGTCCTCCTGAGTGTGACAACCACAATCCTCAGGCTGTGGTCCCAATCCAACAACAGACTCCCAAACTGTCCTACTCCATTTTCCCTCTAGAAGAATATGCAATATCTCCTTTCCTCTTAGTCAATCATCTGAAATTCTTTCCCCATGGCTAATGACAATGTTACTATTTTACGTATGAGGAAACAAGACTCAGAGATGTTAAGTGACTTGTCCACGGTCCTACAGCCAATAAGAGCAAAGTTAGGTTTCTATCCCAGATCTGTCCAACTGCAAAGTCCATGCCATATACCATTATGCTGAATAGGCACACAAAAACAAAATCTGAACAAGAGGCAAAATAAGCCATCTCTCTCCAAATCTCCAATTCTAAAACTGCACCAAGAAGAACATGTCAGAGCTACAGGGTACAACTATCTCAGCTGCAGCTCCCCTTCCCACAGAATGCACCAAGATCTGCTCTGTGGAACAGCTAAGACAAAGAACAAAACAAGCAAAAAATGCCTAGTTGATATCATCTAAAACGGAGGCACAGGAACAGGGTCCCGGCCATGCCCACTCCTTTACGTACGGTCGAAAGCTGCTTTCATGCTACAAGGACAGAGATGAATTGCTATAGAGACCGACTGTACTATGTGCAAAGCCCAAAATATTTACCACCCAGCTCTTCACAGGCAGTTTGCCAACCTTTGCTGTAGAAGATGGATTTCAGGGAGAGCTATCCACTGCCTTCCCCTCATTGTGTGAAAAATATTTTGAAATAATTTTAAACCTACAGAAGAGTTGCAAAATTAGGAAAAAGTTTCCACAATTTCTTTACCCGGCTTCTCCTGTTAACTGCTTACATAATCATAGTACAGTACACTTATCAAAACCAGAAATGAACATTGGTATAGTACTAGTAACTAAACTACAGACTCTATTCCAACTTCACCAATTCTCCCACTAATGCCTTTTTCTCTTTCAGGATCCAATCCAGGACCCCACACTGCATCTCGCTGACGTTGTCCCCTTAGCTTCCTTTACTTTGGGACGGCTCCTCAGTCTTTCATAATCTTGACCCTTTTGAAGAGTTACTGGTCTGGTATTTTGTAGCAGTTTTCTTAATCGGATGTGTCCAGTGTTCTCTCATGATTAGACTGAGGTTACACATTTTTAGCCAGAACACCCCAGAAGAGGTTGTGCTCATTTCAGTGAATCATATCAGGGAGTACATGGTATCAGTGTTTTAATTACCAGGGATATTAACTTTACAGACTTGGTTAAGGGGGTGTCTGTGGCTTCTCCACTGGAAAGTTACCGTTTTTCTCTTTGTAATTAATTTCTTGGGAGAAGATACTTTGAGACTATGTAAATATCCTATTTCTCCTCAGACTTTCCCCTACTAGTTTCAGCATCCACCAGAGGGCCTCGCCTACAACTATTACTGTGGTGTTTGCCAACTGGTGATTTCCTCATTCCTTTGACATTTGTCTCAGTCATCTAGTGCTGCTCTAACAGAAATACCACAAGTGGATGGCTTTAACAAAAAGAAGTTTATTTCTTCACAGTCCAGTAGGCTACAAGTCCAAATTCAGGGTGTCAGTTCCAGGGGAATGCTTTCTCTGTTGGCTCTGCAGGAAGGTCCATGTCATCAGTCTTCCTTTGGTCTGGGAGCTTCTCTGCGCAGGAACCTCAGGTCCAGAGGACACGCTCTGCTCCCAGCACTGCTTTCTTGGTGGTATGAGGTTCCCATGTGTCTCTGCTCGCTTCTCTCTTTTATATC